TAATACTCCTCCATAGATCCCTACCGGACGGGCGTAACGCCTAAAAAACCGGATATATATATTTTCCTCTGTAATTGGACGTTTCAATGGGTTTTTTTCCCTTATTGTTTCTTTTACTTTTGTAATTTCTATTTTCGTTTATTTTATTTCCTCTAATACTTCTGATGGTCCTTTCTATGGTTTTTACATTGCTATGTACTTCTTGGAACATTTTTATATTATTTTCATATCAGCTGCTTGCATTTTTAGTTTGTATTTTTATTAGTGTTAATTATTATTCTTAGTCCCCTCCTCCATTTTTTAATGTTTACCGTATTCTTCCTGTACTTAACAATACGCTTTTTTAATGGTTATAAATTTCCTACACATTTTATAATATACTGATCCATAAACTATGTCAAATAAATATTACTTTTATGGTTTTTATTGACTGATACGTAAAGAGTACTCCAAGTAACAAAAGCAATTTTTTTACGTCAATCTCTTGGCATATCTGTCTTTCAATATTTAATAAATTATTTTTAAACTGCACTTTTAAACTTAAAAATAGGTAAATATTACGATTGATGAGGCCAGATGTTCCAAGTTGAATATGTGGGCGGCTTCAGACACTTCAGAGTATAGTATGTGGGATTGCATAAAGGGTTTTAATAGATACAGGTTTTCATTTTGAACTTGTTTTTAGATTGCGTTTTAAAAATAATATGTTTGTTTACTTCACATAATATATTATTACATTTATATGTAAGTTATGGTAATATATGCATATATCAGTGATATTATTTGTATGAACTAAAGCACCATGTGTTTAAATTGTAGACGTAATTTTTTATGATATGAAATAATAGGAATTTTAAACACAAACAAGTTTTAAAATTATTTTATTATAATAAATAAGAATATATTCGTCACCTTTACTACGGCCTAGCTTATTTAGCTCGACTGCTTGTCCGCCTCAGTACCTTTCCGTATTCGTATTCCGGTCCTTTCCGTTAAGGTCGATTCAGACACATCAGTCCCGTCATAGTCTCAGCGCCGAACCGGTCCTGTTTGGTCACAGAACTATCAACTATCTGACAGCTGGGAAACTGTTTGTCAACTGATGAGTGTGAATGCCGGCAACATATTTGTATTAAAGAATATTTTGTATGGCGGATTGTTCGGTTCGGCGCAATCACTGTGACGAGACGTGACTGATGTGTCTGAATCGACCTTAAGTCTGTTGTGTGATATCGAGTGGGATAGTCGTGAGCGAATAGGTAAATGTTTACAAAGTATACAGAAATAACTGCGCTGTGGGGACACTGTGAGTGACCCCACCTCACCGGTTACGTTTTTTTTAATAATTCGATTTTTTTATTTTCAGTTGAAAATGGACCTGTCACAATATAATAAAATTGATCCGATCCGATGATCCTAGTTTTGAACAATGGGCTCAAAGTATTCTAGATGCGGATAAGAGTGATTTCAGCGGTAACGATGACGGACAATGATCCCGATTATGTCAACGAACACGAAACTGATGCAGAAATTGAATGGGAGCCGGAAACTGTGGAACCTCTATTGGATGTTGAGGATAATATTCCGCAAAATGCAGCACCTTCGGAGACTCGGATCCACATGAGCAGCTACAAACTCCAGGCCCTTCGAGAACGTACTATGACAAAAATCGATACAAGAGAACTGCCGAAGCTCCACCTTCAAATGTAATAACAAGAAGTTTCAACATTATCTCCCATCTTCCTGGGGTTATTGGGCCAGCCAAGTCTCTTAGGAAATTGTGTCTTCAGAAAAGTGCGTGGGAATGTATAATAACAAACGATATTTTAGAGGAGACCGTTCTTAGAACAAATGAAAAACTTGCCAGTATTAGAACGAAATTACAACAGTAATACAACGGATCTAAACGATTTAGACATTATTGAATTGAGAGCGTTAATCGGTTTGTTATTTTACTCAGCCATATTCAAATCCCATACGGAAGACTTGAGTTCGATATTCGCCACCGACGGTACTGGTAGAGAAATTTTTAGATGCACCATGTCAGTAAAACGATACTTTTGACACCGCTTAGGTTTGATGACGAAACTACCAGGGAAGAACGTAAAAAAACCGAAAACTTGCCCCCATTTCATCAATTTTCAATAAGTTTGTAGAAAACAGAAAAAAAAATTATTGGAAAGGGCAGTATGCTTGTATTGATGAAATAATCATTGGTTTTCGGGGAAGATGTTTATTTCGTATATACATGCCTCAAAAACCCCGAAAATATGGCTTAAAGTCAAAGATAATGGCACTAACTGACGCCCTAACCCATCACTTTTTGGATGGGTATGTATATACAGGTGCTGGAAGTGACGGACAAACATTGTCAGAAGAAAGAAAATTTAACAAACCAACGCAATCAGTTCTTCGTCTAGTAACAAATTGAGGGTTTTAACCGTAACGTAACAGCAGACAACTGGTTTACATCCTTGTAAGTGATAACTGAGTTGAGGAACCGAGGCCTAACTTACGTGGGAACTGTTAAAAAAAGAAAAATATATATTAAAAATATTGCAAAATATGAATGTCACTTTCGTTAACCGCCAGATGTGCCTATACAGCATTCAATATGGCCGAGCCGTTGAGTGATGCTGATTCTTTTTCCGATTTTCTTACAGAAGCGGCGGGCGAACTTTCGACACCAAATTGTCTTTGTACCTGGGGTAATCGAAGGGTCAAATTTTATTATATGAAATTTCGACACCGCGGCGTAAAGCAGGTAGGTAGGTAATTAGCGGCGATGGACATTTGCACCCAAGCAGGAAAAGAGGGTTTTCCCAATATTTATTGTCACGGCGGGGGGCGTGGCACTTTATTTCTTGTTTGACGTTGACTTGTGCACGTATACGGATATTTAAAAAATGAGTTTGATAAAAAGTTCCCGTGGTCGAGATTTATTAGTGGTGGAGCATCATTCGTTCTCGAAACAGAAAGTGTTAAAAAGCGGCGAGATATTTTGGCGCTGCATCCAAAGAAACACTAAGTGTTCCGCAAAAGTGTTTACAATAGTCTATGAGGACCTCACCATCACAAGAAGTGATTTGGTACATAATCATGAAGCTGATCCAAAAAAGCTTGAAGTAAACATGGTAACCAATGCATGTAAAAGAAAAGCCCAAGAGGACATATCGGAAAAGCCTGCCAAAATTACAAGAACTGCTGTTGCTGAGTGTGATGCCAATTTGCTGACGGTTCCTGACATAGCTAGCATAAGAAAGAACATTTACAACTGTGGTCGTAAACTGTTACCAGGTCCGTTACCAAGAAGCATATCAGAAGTCCATAGCGCGGTTAGTAATTATTCTCATAAAACCTGTCGCGATGAAAGTTTTTTGTTTTTAAATCATCCTGAATTAAACGTAATTGTATTTTCATGCGAGACAAATATTTGTTTGTTGTGTAAATTAAAAACTTTGTATATGGATAGTACATTTTCATACAGTACCAAATATTTTCTACAATTATTTACTATACATGGCTTGGAAAATGGACATTATGTTCCTTTACATTTGTTTGTTAAAGGACACATTGTCAATGACATGCAAAAATTTATTGTGGACTTTGAAAAAGCAATTCACTGTAATTGTATATGTGGCCCAATGCAAAAATTAGTGGATGCCGTTTTCAGTTACACCAAAACTGGTTTAAAAAAAATTCAATCTTTGGGTTTGGTACAAGAATATAAGGATACAAATTCATAAATTGGAAAATGGTTAAGGCATACGTTTGGTTTAACTTATTTAAATCCAGCAGAAGTTGAAGAATGCTTTCTTTATGATTTAATGTCATATAAACCTATAAACGCAACACTTGATATATATGCAGATTATTTACTGGAAAATTATATTTTCGATAGCGCTCTATTTCCACCACACATATGGTCTAATCAGAATCCGTCTATTGCGAGGACTACAAATGCCTGTGAATCCTTTTATTCGAGATTTAATTCTTCTTTTTATTCAACACATCCTTCTATTTTTATTTTTATTGAAAAGTTAAAAGAATTTCAAGTAGACCCTTATGTCAAAATAAATAGTTTACATATACCAGCAAAAATCAAAGATACTACTGTTAAGGCTAAATTGGCATTTTTGGAGAAAATGATGGATAAACTACGATCCCAACAAATACGTAGGTTAGATTTTATTAAAGCTGTATCTTATCATTCCTATAATAGCAAATAAATCATTGTATACAAGTATATTAACGGTAAAATGTACAAAAATTAGGTACTAGTTGCATTATATTTAGATATTATTACAGTTATAAAGAAATAAAATGCACATTACTTTTATTAAAATAAATAAATTAATTAATAATGGTATTTTATTTATGTCGCAGATATATTTATTTGGTGTTGAATATACCTGTAAGATAAAAACGGGAATTGGGGCTGGTGTCGAAAATTGCCATTAAATTTTAGTCGGTACCTGCTTAGTGTCGAAATTTCCTACGCCCTACAGAAGAGGAATATAAGCCTAGTGAAAGTGATAGTGAGACAACAGGTATGTACTTTGTATTATTCGCGATAAGACAAAATGATTTTTTAATAATATTTCTTTAAAAAACTGTATTATACTATATTGTTGTAGTCTATTCTGGCTCTACGTTATCATGAATTTTTTGAAGGATATAGATGATTCACGATAGGCTTTAATTTAATTATTAAAGTTAATTTTTGTATACAATTTCTTTATTTTATTTTATTTTAGATAATGACAACGACCATGTTACATCTGAAACGCCGTCCAACACTCGAAAACGGAAGTCAAATTCTAAGTTGTCAAAAAAGTTCGTAAGAAAGCAAAAAGTTATGAAGGGGGAACAACATGTTTCAGATAAAGGTAAGACTATTCGTCCAAAAGTAAGCAAACCAGAAAGTAGCTGTAGAACTTGCCATCTAAGTTGCTCGGATAAAGTAAGTGAATATCGTCAACAGCAAATATATTTATTCGCTAGATTGGATATCCAAAGATGCCTTTCTTTCTGGTCAAATTACTGTTGAACCTGCAAAAAGAAAATATACAAAGAAGGAAACATCAAGAAAACAGAAGACAGAAACAGAAGTTACAGATTACAAGATGAAAATGGAAATGACCACACAGTATGTAAAGATTGGTTTACAAACATCTTAGATGTTACCAATGGCAAAATAACAAATGCTCTAAACAGAAAAACATATACGGTATCTCCCATTTCGGAACGTGGTAAACACGCACCACATAATAAAATAAGAGATGTAGAGATGATGCAGAGTATCTAATGGAGTTTATTAACAAATTTCCGGTATATGAATCACATTATTGTAGGCATCACACAAGTAAAAAATATTTGTCTCCAAATTTAAACATGTCCTTAATGTATAATAAATGTAAAAAATCTTGTGTATAAAGATGTGTTGTGGAAAAGAAGTTATTGTCTCTTTTGTCTTTAAATATACTTTTAATTCTTCTTTTAATCTATCGTTTCACAAGCTACAAAAGGACACATGTCAAAAATGCGACTATTTAAAAACTCTTATCAAAACATTAAATGAAGGGGAAGAAGATTGAAGTGGAAAGGAATCTACACCAAAAAAAAGCAGAAGTTGTGAAGCGATTAAAGAAGAAAGAAACTGAAGCAGCAAAAAAGAAAGAGAAGAAAAACATGTTGCAGTTTTACAGAGAACTTTGGCAGTGCCAGTTATGTCTACAGCTGTAGCTTATTACAAACGACAGATGTCGGTTTTCAATTTGTGTGTACATTGGGCATATGTTTGTATGGAACGAAAGTGTTGAACTTTGCAAGTATATTTCTTTTTTGTCTGAAACAACATCCATCCTAAATTTGTATTCTGATAGTTGTGCTGGGCAGAATAGGAATATAAAAGTCGTTTTAGGTCTTCTTAATGAAATAAAGGAAATAAATCTAAAATTTTTTGCGCCGACACAGTTTTTCAACTCGTGATCAAAATTTTGGTGTCAAGGAAAAAAAATATCACAAAAACATATTTGTGTCAGACGAATGGATACCTAAACGTAATAAAGACTGGACTTCACGAAAAATATACGTGGCCGTCCTCCAACAAAGCCATACATGAAGTTAGATTTATTATTTCCCGAAGGAAGAAAGATAACAGTAGATAAAAAGAAAGATCTAATATTATTGTTAAGGTACGTGCCGCTATCCACCACGACTATTTTCAAACTCTCAAGTGTACCAATGAGATGGATACAGATTTAGCACAGATTCAAGAGGAAAAGAAGGAGTAATACATTTTTTCCAGTTCAAAATATTTTTCAGTTTTGTTAGTGCAAAAAACGCCTATACAACATTTTTTTCCTGTTTTGTTTAAAAATAAAGCTAATTTTGAAATAATTTTTTTTGCTTTATTCTACCTGAATTATTTTAGTTTCTCCTATACAAAACCACAAAATGTAGTTATGTTACTTTATTTAGAAATTTATATAACCGATTAACTTGACCCTCAATTATCTCAAAACAGTGAATTTGTTGTATAGTCACCTCTGTTTCTGAGCCACTCAATTATGGCTTATTCCCAATAAAATAGTTCTTATACTCCTGTTCTTCTTCTTCTTCTTCGTCTAGCCATTCACGTCCATATCTGAACATAAACCTCTTCAAGTCTTCCTTTCCATTGTTTTTTATTGTACGCTACTTGCAGCCAATTTTTCCCGGCAGTCCTTTTCAGATCATCTGTCCATCTCATAGGAGGTCTGCCTCTGGGTCTTTTGTGTTGGTATGGTCTCCAGGTTAAAATTGATCTGTGCCATTTGTTTAGCTCGCTCCTAGCTACATGTCCAGCGTATTCCCATTTCAACTTTAATGATTTTTGCACCACATCGGTGACTTTGGTTTTCTGTCTTATCCATGTGTTTGTTTTCTTGTCCTTAAGTGATATACCTATCATTGCTCTTTTCATCGCGTGTTGAGTGACTCTAAGTATATTTATTTTTTGTGATTATCCATGTTTGTGCCGCGTAAGTTAATATCGGAATAATGCATGCATCAAAAACTTTAGATCTAAGATGTTGAATTTGTTGATTTCTGAGTATATAGTTCAGTTTACTGAATGCTGCCCAAGCGAACTTTCTTCTTTTTATTTCTTCAGTTTGAATTTCCCTACTTAGTATTATTTTTTGTCCTAAGTATATATATTCTTCAACTTTTTCAATAACTTTATCGTTTATTATTGTCACGGTGTCTTCGGAGTGCATGACTTTTGTTTTGTTTAAATTTATTTTCAGTCCTATTTTAGAAGATTCCGTATGTAGTTCTAAAAGCATGGTTTGCATTTTTTGTAGGTCAGTAGCTATCAGGATTATGTCATCTGCAAATCGTAGATTACTGAGGTAGCGGCCATTGATGTTTATTCCCTTATATTTCCAATTTAGGTTTTTAAAAACGTCTTCCAAAACTAAGGTAAACAGTTTGGGTGACAAAGTATCTCCCTGTTTGACTCCCCTGTTTAATGGTACAGGGTTCGTGTGTTTATTTTCATTTAGGTAGTATGTAGCTGTAGCTTGGTTCATAGTTTCTTTTATTAAGTTAATATACTCCTGTTAAACCGTGTAAACATACTATAATTACACTCCTGCTTACTATGTGCTATCATACCTTCACAATAATTCCTTAATTTACTACGAAAAACAAGCATGGAAACGGAAACTGATAATATCTTAATAATAACAAACCCTGTCGTAACAAACTAATATCTAAATAATCATCAGTTCTGTATAATTATCAACAATATCAAATATTTATGTTTAAATATAATTTTTTATCATATATTTCTCCAAAAAATATTAAAGAAAGATAACGAAAAAAATAATTTTTACTACACTCCGAAATTCATTGCATTTAATTGTTTTTCGTTGCTATTTTTGGGCGGCATTTGTTGATCTTGACACTTAAGGACAAGGTCATAAATATTGAGATAATACGCCAATAAACTATATCCAGTGTAAAATAAACATTAGACTTATCTAATGAAATTGAGTAAATAAATATTTTATAATTTGTTGACAGAGTTCTGTAGCTAATTTAGTAAAATGTCCGGAGGTCATTTTGTGCTAAAGGCTAAGGATCTAATCGCGGAAATATTCTATTTTCCATTGTTTTGACATTTACTCCATTTTAACTGCTTGGACATTTTAAATTTCATTAAAATCGTTCATTTGTTGATCTATGTATTTTTGATCTTTGTCAAACTCCCTTTAGCATCTGGGACACTGTTTATATTGCATACTGTACTGTTTATACTGGATAATTTTGTACTTATTAGTATCCTGCTTGTTTCCTTTTTTATGCATGGATGATATTGTTAAAATATTCCCATAAGTTGGTATTGTTTGTCCATTTACATTTTATTGAATAGATTTGTTAATAATATCAAATTCTCCATATTTTCGCAATTCAGGTTGTCCTCGAACTTCTGGTGCTCTATCATTTTTGTTTGTTAAAGCCTTCTAAGCTTTTCGTTCAATATTTTCTTTTTTTTTTTTAATGTACTCAGGGTGTCTCCCAACAATTTTAGGGATGAAAATAAGTAGATTTGGTCAATGTATTGGTGAGTGGTATGGATGTACATCAAATCAACTTTTCAGAGCAGTCGTCTCAAAAGTCCGAATTTCCGAATAGCTATGATGATTGCCGACCTGCACCGCGGAGATGGCACTTGAAGAAGATCCAATAGTGGTAATTCTTCTCTTTATATCTGATCAATTTTATTTAGCTGGCTTGCACTTGAAACAAACGTAAGCTGTTTAAGGACTTGGTGCGCAAAATAAGTCACCCATATAGGTTACTCTGTGTGCATGAACATACTGGTATTGATGGAAACGAAAAAGCGGACCGTCTTTCTGGAGGAGGAGCAAGACAAACATTTCTTGCTGTGGAAAATTGGTAGGTTTATTGCTTTATTTCCTCGCCTTATATAAATATATAAATAATCGACATTAAATGCGTGCTACACTGTTATTAGGTATACGACAAAATATTCGATCGTTTTGCATTCCATTAATTTCAATGACAAAAACATTCTTGTTAATCTATGTATGTATATTTTTTATTACTTCATATCCAACATAAAAACACCTACAAAAAATAATCTTTTGTTGAAGATATTTAATTGCCACATCTCCTTGGTTCACATCGACTCTGGCAGAAATGAAACAACACTATTTTAGCACATCTGTTTGTTTTTCAAGAATATATTTGTGGATGATTTGTAAATACCAGTTGTTTGTTGACACTGGAAATATAAAATTTACTTTTATCAGTTTGGTGAAAGATAAACTGAAAATTTGGTTGAATACTTAGAAATGAGGAGTGAATTAGTAGAAATCTTTTTAGAAATATTTTGTGTTTAGTGTAAATTTCTATAAATTGTGTTTTGAGTGGAAACATCTCCACTGTTTAATTAGGTACCATTATTTTTGTTATTGATTGTTAGATCATCTATTTTATGTTTGTTATTTCGTGACCGTGACTTTTAACTTTTTTTTTTAATTTTCGTGATTTTTTCGGACAATTTAACTAACGCTTTTATGATCGAAATAAAAAAAATGTTTACAAATTCTCTTTAGTTTTAAAATTTTTTTCTGGTAAGTGTGAAACTTGACAATAATTTATTGAATAAAGTATTAGATGGTGCACTGTTGAATTAGCATTTCTTATAAAAAATACTAACATCAGATAAGACAGGCAGGGTTGAAACAAAGATGAATTGATGTGCTTTCTTCTTATGAATCATGCCACTCATTGGGTATAGATTATTTATAAATAAGCAAGTAAAAATTATAGAGTTATTTTTTGTAGGTGTCCAAACTAAAAGAAAGTGTCAAATGTAGATATTCAAGTATAAAACAGTAAAATATAGCTGTATACATTCACCTGTAAAATGTAGCTGAAAATTATGTTTTGAACTTTGACGGTATACAAGGCAACTATCGAACACGGTGATTAATTTAATCTTGCCCAAGTACTTTCGATCAATAGATCATCTT